GAAGGAAAAAAATGCATCGGGGAACCAAGGAAAATAAAGCAGTTTATTAGGATCTATGATAAAATTTAATAGTAAATGCTTTTTGAAGTGTTTCTACTCAATAAAGTTTCTTTAGAATCAGATACTAGTATGAAGGATCTGTGCATTGCATGAGAACAATCCTTAGGAATACATGACATAGTCAATGATCAAGGGTTTGCATTGCATTATAGGGCGATTCAGCCATTTGGAAGTTTTTCGATGTACTCAGAGAATCAATACAGGCAAAGCAAAAGGTTGGATTGACTTCTTTTCTTTTGTTGAAAGTTTTAGAAGCAAAGATCTTTCAGTATGATTTTCTAGAAGGACATAATGTGGGACAAAATAACTGTTATTGATCGTGAACACGGTGAAATGTAGTCACCACAATGGTGACTACATTTTTGCCAAATTTTGGTCACCAAGGATGAAATGTTAGCTACATTGGTGACCCTATCGGTTGCAATTTTGAGCCCTGGGATGGCTTTTAAAATACTATGTTTGAGTTTAGCCTGCAGTCTTGTAAAAGGAAAGGGCCAAATTGGCCCTTTTTTCGTTTTTCTGGGGGCCATCTCTGATTGCAACGTGGGATTCCTGCCATGGTGTGCTCTGGCGGAAACACTGAGAACCATAAGAGGATCCCTCTTAAATGAGAGGTAGGCATCGCATTACAGGAGGCTATGAATGAGAAAGCATTTGCAGGTAACTCAGATCAAGACTCAGACAACAGTTGTAAATAAATATTGCAACAAGGAGAAGCCCCAATGTATTTAAGACTCAGTTTTGTTATAATTATGGCTATGCTTTCCCTACTAGTTGTTCTGGCTTTATGCACCTCACCTTTAGCCATTTTAAAAGCATGATTTCTCTTAAGTAACTCCTGAAGACTCTGTGGTAGCTCAGTATCTTTGGTGTTTTCCGACACTATAATGATATATTTGACATCAGACGCACTGCAGTAAGGGCAACGACCAGTAGATGACACAGGGTAAGTATTTGCTGTTGATGATGACACTGTGTTGCTAGAGTTCGAATGAGATACAGTCCCAGTTGCTGATGTTGTTACAGTGGTGGTTGAGCCAATCACATCACTAGATGAAGTAGTTTGTTCCGAAAAATGCTCAGAATCAGAAGGAGCTGATGGAGCATCAGTCTCTTCATTTTCATTGTCATCGGTATCATCATGGTTGTTTTCCTGGGAAAGCTTTTGCTGCTCTTTTGCAAGCATTTGTTTGATGAGTTCTTCCTCGTCAAGTTCGTCATCATCATCATCATCCTCCTCCTCCTCCTCATCATCATCATCGTCTTCCTCAGTTTCTTCCTCCTTGTCTGACGAACCTGAAAAAGGTGTATCATCAATATCACTACTCACAAAACTACCGCCTTATAGTACTCTCTGTAGATAAGTTAATCATACAGCACATTGTTGATGCAAAGCTTTTGAAGGAAATAGTTGACTTAGTTACAAAACATAGTGAATGTACATGATCAGAAGTAAAGAAACATGTCAGTAAAATAAGGCAATGTTATTACAAAAGAACATACATACTTTGCATGACTGAAGTTTGAGTCAGATTTCTTTCATCATCACTTTTTTCTGCTCGAAATTCATCCAAAACTTGCATTGAGTTATCAGAAGATTCATCTTGACTTGATCTTTCAACTTTTGTTTGAATACGAATGAAAAAGAAGTTACAAATAAACTGTCAGTACCTAGAAGTTGGATGATGTAATTTGCTCATCTACAAATGGGACGAAAGGAACAAAAGTGTGCTACTTCACTACCAATCACACCATAAATCATGGTAAACATAAAAACATGATTAAACAAAGGCACTATTACAAACGTGTACAGAACAATCTCTACACAAATGCAGATAAATACAGTTATATGGAAAACTTGCAGATGAAACAAAACAAACAAACAAATAACCAACCTTGAATGCTGCTTTCCCCTGAGCTTGAAACAGGATTTATTGCCTTCTTAGAGTGAAATGAATGGAAGAAAGATATCATGTTTGATCATCTATTCCACAACAGCCATGGATACTCACACTAAGGTATGATGGACTTGGACAGCTTTGACTTTAATCCAACGCAAAAGCCACATTTTGTTTTGGTGATTGACATACAGTGTATTGACTGCCTGCACTAAAAACGTTACTCCTTTAACAGGTAACAAGATATTTTTACATATTTTTTTTAAACCTACTAAACTGATGAAAAGATTTGGGATTGGACAAGCAGGAGTACAGTGACCACATTATTGCAAAAGAGCAAAACAAAAATACCCAAAGGATTGATGACTCAAGTTACAAACCTGTACTGGCTTGTCCAGAGATTCTAAAATCTGATTCAGTGAGACATTGTCCCAGTTGACATTAAATCCAGCTCCCAGAGGGTCAGGCGGACAAAATCCTCGGCATAGGAATGTAGGTGGGTCCTGTGTGTATAATATAAAATACATGTAGGGAATGAACATTTACTCATATTGAACTGAAATATTTATAACATAGTCACTCTAGAGAAAGGTAGATTGTGGTGCACCCAAGTGTTGTTAGAGCATGCAAATTTCTACATGCCACATTGTGGATGAAAAGGGAGTTCCACAAAATTAAGATAGATGCTTCTGATAGCCATTACAACTTCATTTATGACATCATCTCACCAACCCTATCCATGACATGTGTGCTCCAGAAAATATCCAAACCCACCCCAGGGAGGGTTATTGGAAATAACAGGGGAGGGGGAGGGGGTCCAAAAAGCCAAACTTTTAAAGGAAAGTGTGAATAATAAGTTGAATTTCCAGAGGCATAGGGAAGGGGAAGGGGGTCAAACAAAAAACCCTCCATGGGAGGGATATGGGTTTTTTCCCCTGGAACAATACAATGTGAAATATGTTAATGGTGACAGTCCCAGACAAGTGATTGCCTTTTTGTCCAATTTAAGACTATTACCACCCTTTGTCATGATCCATCACTTCACAGGAAGATGTGTTGATCTCCTGAAGGAACACCTCTCTTGGTTATTTGCAGACTGCTCCACAGCCTAGTCACTGACACTCTAGATCTGTTTTTATTCATGGTATCTCACCCGATATCCTTCCTTTTCTTGACTTGACCACAAAATAGCTCTTCCTTTAGCTATCAGCGTGTGAAGAATTTCAGGCATATCACCCATCGGAAACAATCTTAAGAGAAATATGTGTAACATATGAGATTAAATGTCTCAAATAGGGTACACCTGTACCTAAATAAATAAATTATACCTCACATAACATATTTGTAGTGACTTAAAATTTGATGATAGGGACAAGATAATGCCAAAACATCATGTACACTCTAGCATTTATATTTCTTTTAAAGAGTACAAAGTGTCTAAAGAGTTTCCATTTACAAAAACATACTTATCCAAGATCACATAGAGCCTGTTTGAATTTCCGCAACGAGGACACAGACCATCTTGGGAAACTGTATACTTTGTTCCTCTCAAGTGAACCCCTTTAACCTTATCATCCATGTCCATGGCATAAACTCTGCAAAGTCAATTAAACTTACACAGTCAGATTATAAGAGGTTCCAGAGAACAAACATTTGAGCGTCTGCAGGAGTACCTGCACATGTAAGTTTTGTT